CCCCCTAGCTTAGTATATATACCACTTGTAACCCTCGAGGAAGGGGATCCGAATTCATTCTCTCTAAACTCCCTTGTAAAAGTGACCGTGCATTCTCTGTTTTAATACAATTCGGACTACAGGTGTTCCATCTAAAGTCCTACCGGTCATTCTGAGTGTTCTTACTTTCTTTACTTTTACTAAATCTAGCCAACTGTTCTAGACCCGGTCTAGTATAGTTTGACCGGTCAAGTAATTTACACTATTAATGCGTGTTCACTATTCACAGGGTCAAACTTCATTCACTTTCTTTCTCTATTTTCGTTAGCAATTTGATAAAATAAAATATTGTTGTCACTACTAGTTTTGTAGATCTTTTGATGTAGTATTTTGATATCTAATTTTTATTTTTTAACTCTATACCATTTGTCATATAAAATGATTCGAAAATAACTTCAGTCAAAAATCGTAAACCGAAACAGGCGTTATAAAATGGGACGGAGGGAGTAGGATTTTGCATGTTGTTTTAACACGTCTACTGTGAGACGGAAAGAGTAATACTTTCTCCGTCCCAAAATTGATTACAATTTTTTTTCTCTCTCCTCTCGATAACTTTTGTTTGTTTATGTAATTTCATTAAGTATTTGATAAAATAAAATATTCTTGTTACCTCTTGCTTTGTAGAACTTTTGACGCAATTTTTTAATATGTGATTTTTATTTTTCTTATCGATATACCATTTTTTAAATAAAATAATTTTAAAAAGTAAAATATTTTTCCTCGTAAACCCCAATTTGTAATCAAATTGGGGAATGGGGTATATTTTTTTGAGCCTATGATAATTGTGTTGGTTGTTGATTTGGTTGGAGTGATAATGAAGTGAATTTATTAATATTTTTTTTGAAAGAACTTATTGATACTTAAACTTGTTGCAATCAATTACAACATGTCCTATTGGACACCATAAATTTTAGTATCAAAACAATAATTATTCTCAAATTATTGTCAATCAAGGAAATCAAGCCACCAATAATGACTTTGTCTTTCATAAGCAATTACGTACATCCAAGCATTAATTGGGTTACTTTAGTTAAATTTAAGCCATTTGGGAGTACAATTCAATTAATAATAAGACCCATTAAAAACAAAAACAAAATTATCCTCCCAAACCTATATTCTCTGCATCCGCAGTCTAATCCTCCTCACCTACTCCGGCAGCGGCGGCTCTTCCTCCCCTAACTCCGGCAGCGGCGCCTCTTCTTCTTCCTCCTCCATTGCTCCGGAGATCTCCTTTACCGGTAAACTTATTTATACGCCATTAAGTCATTTGTGTGTGAATCTATTGATGCAAGTCTCGAAGTTGCTATTCCTGTTATTCGTTGTGTTGGCTACGTCCACAGGCAAGAACCGATGCGAATTTTATTATAACAGCGGTTTCAGAGTACCGCGTTTTTGTGCCCTACCTCTATATAAATAGGCACACAAGACGGGCTACCTATTAACAATACCTTTAATATGTCTGATTCTTCATTGCAATCATTCTCTGTTAGAGGATGTTTTATATATCATTTAGTTCATTTCCAACCTTATTTAAATTTGTAACTTTGAGCTGTGAGTTTATTGAAGTAAGGTTTGCCTCACTTGTGAGATTTTACTAGGTTTGTTGTTGTTTTTGAGATATTAGGTTTTGATAATACTTTTGCTTTTTGGTGTCTAAGAATGCTATGTTTGTCATGCTAGTAAGGTAGCTGATTTGATCAAGTTAACTGAGAATATGTTTGGCAAAATGACTTGAAAAGGGTGGGTGAAAGCTGAAAAGGTGATTGATTTTTTTTTTGTTTTTTGAAAAAGGGATGTCTGGTTAATTATTTAAGTCACCCTTTTTAACTTACTGCATTTCAAGTAACTGAACTCGAACTTAGGTTACCTGAAATGGTATTTACGAAACACATTTGATATATTTATTAGTCAAATCCGTCCACGGTAGTCAACTAAGGAACACAACCTTAATTGATCAAAGTAGTAATAAACTACTCAAACTTAATGAGTTACTCTGGGGACTGAAGAAGTTCTCCTTTTAGCTCACTTCATGAAATTTCAAATACTTTAACAACTACAAAGGGTTACTTTTATCAAACAGTCCCAGTTTGATTAGTTTTTCAGCTTTTAGTTTCCAGTCACTTTCTATTTTCATTAACCTTTTTCTGTTTTCATTAACCTTTTTAGATTCCAGGAAGTATGATCCAGATTTCATGTACTCGGTATTAAGTCCCAAAAAATAGTACGGACTACGGAGTATTGCTTTATGTTGACATTTGACATTTAAACAAAGTGGATGGGGAACTGTAAATAATTAGATAAGAAGATGAAAGAGTTTTACCAAAATACAAACAGAGGAAGTAGGAGTAAAGCAGTAATTATTAAATATACATATTAATTTATGTTGAGAGTAAAAGGCAAGCAGCTAAGTAGAATTATGTTTGGCATCCATTGTTTATTGTCCCCAATCTTTATCCTTTGTTCATGTGATCAGTAAAGTGGATATTTGTGTTTGGAATTCAGATTTTGTAGTTTAAAACCTGGTTGTCGAAGTGTGGTTGGCTGCAAACAAAAATGTCATATGAAGTTCAATATGTGAAGAATGATTTTGGGGGTCAGAGCAATGGAAGATTGCTACAAGACATTGAAGAGATCAGTAAATCTCTTTATGCACATAATAATAAAGCTCCAACTAAGGCCTTACTTTCTCCATCATATCACACGATCAAACCTCCGGGCAACAACGCACACCTCTCCAATCCAAAGCCCAAATTTTTAGTAGGTCTGTTGAGGAAGTGGAAGCCCTTAAAAACATTGGCTCACATGCGCAATCGACGCTTCAGTTGTTGCTTCTTCGTCCACATTCATGCTATTGAGGGCTTACCCATGAGTTTCAACAACCTTAATTTGTGCGTCAATTGGATTAGAAAGGAATCGGTATTGAAAACCCGGCCTGCTCAGGTCTGCTGCGGAACTGCTGAGTTCAGAGAGACTTTGATGCATCATTGTTCTGTGTATGGAAGTAGAAGCGGACCCCACGGTTGTACAAAGTACAAGCCAAAACTGTTTTTGCTCAAGGCTTCTGTGCCCGGTTCTCCTGGCTTGGATATCGGGGAACACTGGATTGACCTTACGAGATTACTTCCTCTTACTTTGGAGGAATTATTAGCAGAAGGGAAAAGAAATTCAGGGAAGTGGTCCACATGCTTTAAGCTGTCAGGAAAGGCTGAAGGTGCTTTGCTAAATGTTAGTTTTTGTTTCTCTGTCTTTAACAGTAACTCCTCAGAGTATTTAGCAGACAATAAAGTTGTTGAAGGTGTTCCTAAGATACCACTAGATGAAAAAAGATTTGGTGACCAAGGTTCGGCATTTGACCCTTCAATAACCTTTACGTTTCGGAAGCCCATTGAAGGAAAACAAGAAAACTTGGTGGACTCTACTTGTAAATATACTACAAAAGAACATGGAGACTTAACCTTTACTTTGAGTGATTTGGGTATTGAAGTGTATAATCAAAACCAGGTGAAATCCGAGCAAGAATCTATAGGTTCTGATAACTCTTTAGTCGAAACAATTAATGTGGCTGACATTTTTCAAGATTATGATACTGATGAACTTGAAGAAGAAGAAGAAGAGCCAACTGTTGAAGAGCTTGAGTCCATTGACCAATGTGATTACTCTAGTTTGGGATCCTTGGATGATGTAACTGAAGCAGTTGCAAATGATTTTCTTAACATGCTTGAGAATAAAGATGGCCCAAAGGATAGTTCTGCTGATTTTGATCTGATGGTGGTCAATCAACAAGTCAAGAAGGAGAAGCAAAGATTAACAGCGTCGATTAGAGATAAAAGGAATCTTAAAATGCTTGAGAATTTGGAAACAGAATCCCTAATGAGTAAATGGAAGTTAGATGAGAGGTCATTTCAACTTTCACCATGCTCCACTTCGGGTGGATTTGGAAGCCCTATCTATCTTCCTCCAGAGGAGCAGTTGGAACTGCCATCTCTAGGGGAAGGGTTGGGACACACAATACGGACCAAGAGCGAGGGATTCTTGCGTTCAATGAGCCCGTTGCTTTTCAAGGGCGTGAAGAATGGTGCAAGATTGATCGTTCAAGTTTCCCGCGGGGCTGTGCTTCCTGTTGTGATGGGTTGTACTGTAATGGAGATATTAGAGCGATGGGCATTGGAGGGACTTGAGAAGTTCTCTGTTCAGGCAAATACATTGATGCCTTTGGATGATATCACTGGTAAGACAATGGAACAAATTGCCAGGGAAAGTGGATGTGGGCCCAAGACGGACGAGAGGTTTGTAAATGACTCCCTATGCTTTTTAAACTCTGTCCATTGAGTGAATATATTTTTTGCTCATTCCACATTTATGCCTCGGTTTTCAATTTTTTTCACTCTTGGTGCATGACTGATTGTTTCTTGCCACTTTTGGTTCTTTGGATTACCTAATCGGTGAACTTCCTTGCATTTTTGCTGGATTAGTGATTGGAGATGGCCAAAACATGCAAAATATCCATATTTATAAAAAATTTAGTCCCTCATTACCAATGGGTACAACCAGGCACTTTTTTTTCAAATGCCAATGACCAGGGGACTAAAAATGCATACAATATGCTGTATATTTTAACAAATTGGTCCATCTTTTTTCTTCATCATGCTATCTTTTTAGGTAGTTATATCCCCTTTGATTTATTTTTTTGACAGATTGAACATGCCAAAAGAATTTCAAAAATGCTGCGAAGTGGATGGTCTGGACTATGTTTCTCATGAAGATCTTCTTCCAATAGCATTGGCTAAGGTGGAGCCTCTCGCAATCGAAGGCTTAAGAATACAATGTAACATGTCTGATGCCGAACCACCTTCTAGCATCCGGCTGTCCCCGGCCCACAAAGAAAACCGTTGTTATTCCTATGATGAATTAGTAAATCTAACTTTGTCATTGGACGAATGGGTGAAGCTAGACGCAGACTGTTTCGACGATGAATATGAGATCTCTGAAAAATGTTCTAAAATTTCAGGTATCAACTCTTCCTTTGGTCAAAACTATGGTCTTCTAGACAGGAACTTCACATTAGCTATGAGAGTTCAGCTGAGGGACCCTTCCAGAAACGCAGAAATGGTTGGCGCCCCAATGATTGCCCTGGTCCAAGTAGAGCGGTCTTTTTATCCGGTGGACCAAAATGCCCTTGCTCTCGGTTCGAATGCTCGGCCCTTTTCTCGTTTTAAAATCTCCACAGTCCACCTGTCGGGGACGAATGTTGAAAACATGGACATGGGTATTTGTGGGACAAGGAGGCAGAGAGAATGCGGGTCCCGGTGGTTGCGGGGTAGTGGGGTAAGTAGGACGAAGAGACGTCCCCTTTTGGAGATGGAGGGGCAAAACAGTCATGATGATATCTTGTGGAGCATATCTTCTCAAGCTCATGGTGGCATAGGATTGGCATCTTTGAATATTCATGTTAGGAACCCTAATATTCTCTTTCCCAAGTGAAGTTGTCCATGCCAAAAAACTTTTGGGACGGAGGAAATATAACTCAGGATCAAATCTCGACATTGCCAGCGTGAGAGTTTTATTGAATGTGATAATTCTTTGTGCGCGCCAGGTACAAACGGATTATCTAAAGACCAAATTAAGATTATAGTGTGATTTATTTTGTTAGTATAACTCATTGTGTATAGGCCATAGTGAATGATTGTTTTGTAGAAAGGGTTATGGTTGGTCCCACTTGCAATAGTTCTTATTTTGATGATTGTAATGTAAAAAATGATTGGTCTCTGTATGTGGTCTTATTTTATTGGAGAGGAAACACAAAGGAAAGAAAGAAACACTTAGGCGCGCCAGGTCTGACACAATGACAAGTGGTGTAGAATAACATGCCTCATGGGGGCACTGCACCTTAATTGGCACTCTCTCGGCCATCTGTTTGACGGGTGTAAAAATGTATGATGTGGAGTGATAAAAATATGTGTGATTATAGGCGTGATGAGAAGTGATGATGTATAAATGTGATTTAAATTTTGATTGGTTTTAAATAAAAAAAATTAAAACAAATAAAAGAGTAACAACGCCGTGAGCACCATCAAGCCGTGCTTGTCACGTCTCTGTCGTGCCCGTGGTATCGCGCTGGTCATGCCGTAGCGGAGCGTGATGCCTCACTCAATTGTATCATACATCTGAGAGAAATGAGTAGTACATTTTTGAATGTCAATATGAAAATTTAGAGTGTAAATACTGTATTTAGTACTCTATAATCGAGTATTACGTCAAATCGAATATTACTTCTGTGATCCTTTTATAAGTACCTTTCCTCGAATATTTCTTTTTTTGACTTTTTGTAATATTAGTTTTAACTTGATGGGTAAAAGTATAATTTTGCATCGACATGCCAAAAATGTTTAGTTATGTTTAGTTGTAGAAAGTTGGAAGGGATAAAAAATGTTGAAGTGTGTTTAGTTGTACAAGATTGGAAGGGACGATTTCAGCTTGAGGTGTTTTAGCCGTAGAAGATTGGAAGTGATAAAAAATCTTGGCTCTCCCAAATACTATCTTTTTTTTCTCAACTCAAATCAAACACGCCCTTAAGATATTCATTATGAGAGTTTCTGAGTTCGAATCACTGTAAGGTTGTTTTCTGTATCCGAGCTCGAACTAACAAAACCTTCTTTGCAGTACTATTAACTCTAGTATATTTGTTCATACAAACTTTTTTAACCTATTAAAGAACAAAGCATCATTTTGAAACATATGAGTGAATGGGTAGGATAGAGACTCAATGGAGCTCTACATTATGCCACCAATGTTGTCTTATTAATGTTTCTTGACTAAGATTTGCTTCCAATTGCAAATAAAAAACAAGAATGATTTGCAAGCCATACACAAAAGCAAAGAAACATGGATTTCTCTCCTTAAAAAAACATGAATTTCATTGGAACCAAATTACATGAAAGAACACAAACATGCCTCAAGAGGTTTAGGTACAACATTGTCCAAAAAACAGCCATACAACAACAATTTGAAAACAACAATTAAAAAAATCCCACACACACTTGAAGACCTAACCAAAGGTATTAACAGCTTCCCACACCAAATTCTTGGGGACCGGCTTGGTAAAATCCCGAGCCTGCAACGCGGCGTCCCTGAGTGTCCTCAGGGTCATCGCGTTCGCCTCCCAGAACGAGACGCAACGGTACGGCAAGCCGTGCTTCGCGCAGAGCTCTCTGACAAAGGGAGACACCCTCCGGAGGTGACACCGGGGCAACCTCGGGAACAAGTGGTGCTCTATTTGGAACTGGAGCCCGCCGTGGAACCAGTCCATCCAGGGCGGGCAAGAGATGTTGAGGGTCCCAAACGTCTGCTTCTCGAACCAGTCGTTGCTCGTGGGCGGGCCCACGTAAACGCTGGTCGAGAAGTGGTTCAGGCAGAACTGGACGTGCTGGATGCCCGTGGCCGCGAAGCTCGCGGCCACAAACAGGGCCCGCTCCTCCCAGTTTGGCAAACAGGAGACGAGGAGCGGGTACCAGACCCAGAACCCCAGAAGCCCGAAAAGCTCCTGGGCCCGATCGGGCACTTTTCGGGCCGACAACAGGAGGGAAAAAGACTGGGAGAACAGATTGATCCTCGCGAAGCACATGACGAAGTAGAAGCTCAAATGCTGGTGGCTGATGAAGAATCTGGCAAAGGAGTCGAATTTCATCTTCCTCTGGTAGAAACAGGAGTTGATGGAGTTGAAGAGCTTGGAAGAAACTGCAAAGAGAGGCATGTGTTGGAGATCCGGGTCGAAATCGAGGCTGTTGCAGGAAATGTGGTGGGCGTTGTGGTTCCATTTCCACCACCCGATGCTGATTCCGGCGAGGCAGTTTCCGGTGAGGATCTGGGCGAATCGGTTCCATCCCTTGTTCATCATGATCTGGTAATGGCCGGAATCGTGACCCAGCCACCCGCTCTGGATCCACAGAAACCCCATTAGGGCTCCGCTCGCCAGATGGATCCAGAAATTCTCGGAGCAGAGGACTCCGTAGACGCTGGCGGCGAAGATCAGCGAAATCAGGGACAGGGAGATGAGGACGCCGTGGCCCTTTTCGTCGAACAGTCCGATTTTGGTGAAATCGGAGACGAGCTTCCGGTAATCGCTGGAAACGTCGGAGACGGAGTGGTCCCGGAGGTAAAATCCGTTGGAGTAGTTGGAGAGGTGGGTCCAGGCGGAGGGCGGGTGGTAGGCGACGAAGGAGTCGGTGACGTCTTGGCCGGCGAGGGTGGTGAGAGGGAGGGAGCCGCCGGGGTGGGTTTTGACCCAATCGGAGACGTCGTAGACCTTGCCGTGAACTGAGAGCCAGAGGTCTCCTGGTTTGTTGTGCTTCTTCAGCTCATCTGTCGTAATGTACTTCGCCGGTTCCGCCATTGACCCCGCCGCCGCCGGAAAGAATGGTTTTTGCTGCTTCTGAAATGAAGAAGAGCCACTCCCTTTTGCTGCTAAAGAAGATGATATGATTCATAGGACATGTGACCAAAGGATTCAAGATTAGATTGGGAGATGCTAGGGTACACCAAATGTCTATTCCATTTGTCCTTCACCTCCTCTATAACTACTTATTTTAATTTGATTTTTATTTACTTATTTTTTTTTAATTTTTTTGCCTATTTGAGTGGTTATGGAGGGGGTGTGGGACAAATGGGGTACACCTTTGGTGTACCCCTAGCATTTTCTTTAGATTAATACTCTCACAAAAGACGTACGGAGTAAGTAGTAGGACAAAAATATCTCAGTATTGTTTCCTAATACATAATAGCCACACATTTGGAGGAGACTTATAGTAAGACGGTGTGGGGGTTTAGGGGTGAGTACCGTGAGTTAGGGGTATTAACAATCAGTTTTACGATTTGAACATCGGAGTACTCCAAAAATGCAGCGGACCGACACTGACACCGTTGACCAATGTCAACGGAAACGTGCCCTACTAAAAAATACTCTTCTGCAGTACAATTAATTACAATCTGCATTATTTCAAAATCACGTTAACTTTTATTAAGGTTCGTGATTACTATTCTTGTAGATAAATTATACCCTTTTTATAGGTATTTTTATTATTTGTTTAATAAAATAAAATAATCACGTAGTCATTTATTTTGTAAAGTTTTGTACTATATGGTTTTAAATATATAACTTTTTTTTGAATTTCATATCAAATTAAATTTTAAATATACGGAATTGAAAATAATATTAGTTAAATATACTTTGTATTTAGCTGAAACGAAGGGTGAGATACGGACTATTATACGGACTAATAATTTATTAATAAGATTATTAATAATGATAATAATTTTAATTTGGTACGTATACATTGCACGGATTATAGCTTTTTCAATTGTGTGTGGACCTCTTTATTGTACGGTTTGTCCACTGAATTGAAATGGACAACGGACTTCACAAAAATAAATAAATTTAGATGTCAACATTATACTTTTATTATTACAGGTATCATTATAATTATAATTATTATTATTATTACTATGGAGTATTATTAATTTATTATTATAATTATTATTATTAAATGTTGATTGAAATGGTAAAAAATTAGAAAAATAAATTTAATGAAATGTTTAAAAAATCATTAAATAATGGCCGAAATGGAAAGGAAGGGAACCACATCCATGATCCATGGATAACTCTTGATGAAAATGTAAAAGATAAAAAAAGTGACATGACACTAAAATGACATGGTGAAATCGAAATCATGTAATTTACTATAATAATGATAAATTATTGGTGTTGGAATAAAGCTCTTCTTGTAATGCCTTGAATCTGACCCGTTAATTATCTGTCAATTCTGTATATTTGGGCTCAAGCATGTTAAGGTATAGCCTTGCCTTATATACATATAGGTGTTATCACAAACCCTAAGCTGTATTTTTCTGTTCTTGCCTCTCCATAATAAAACTTTTCCCCCTCTTTCCGTAGATGTAGCCAACACAACGTTGGTGAACCACGTAAATCTGTTGTCGTTTTTTCATGTTCTTATTGTTATTCTCGAAATCCGTATAAGAGCTGTAATACATTCCACTAGGGGTGGACACGGTACCGGTACGGTACCGTGACCGGCAACGGTACCGCCGGTACCCGCCACCGTCACCGCCGGTCGGGACGTTCCACCAGTTCCGGGAACCGGTACCGGCACCGCCCCTCACGGTACCGGTTTCGGTACCCATTTTTCGGTACCGGCACCGGTGGTACCGGTTTCGGTTCCGGTACCTTTTTTTTTTGTCCAGCCTCCACTCCCTCCAGCGGTCCAGCAGCCCCTCCAACTCCAGCAAGGTTACTCTCTTTCTCAAAATTAGTCTCTTCTAAATTTTTCAACAATTGCATTTAATATTTTTCATAAATCTCAATTGTTTTTATGGACACTAGATTTTTCAAAAAATAATCAAAAAAATAAATCAATTTTACACTTTAAAAATTTAATAAAAAAGCAAAAAAAATAATAATTTGGGGGTGGCCAGTCCGATACCGGCCGGTCCGGTCACGGTACCGGTACCAAGGGGTGGCAGTTCCGGAACCGGAACCGTCCCGGACCGTACCGTGTCCACCCCTACATTCTACTCTCTGTCCAAATTTAAGTAGCATGTTTTCTTTTTAATGATCAAATTTTAATTACTTTTGATGGTGTAAATTAACCACCAAATAGACAGTTCTAGACCCGGTCTAGGATTGTTTACTGGATTCAAGAAAATAAAAGTAAACACAAAGGTTAACCGAGAGGATTGTAGGTGGACACACTTGTAGCCCAATTGTTATTAGAATATAGTAAAATGCACGAGAGTTATTACACAAGGGTCTTAGAGAGAAGAATTCGAATATCTTCCCTTGAGGGTTATACAAGTATTTATAGGAAAGGGAGGGGGCAGAGCGCCGCACGTCCACATCGTTCCATGTTCTCTGATGGTGTGAGGTGGCTTTCCTCTTTTGTCTTGTAGCATCTTGTCTCATTCCCTTGCATTTTGTGCTGATGATTCCTTCTTCGGCGCGTAGCATCCAGGAGAGATTGAGAGAATATTTCCCCAATCTCTCGTTGAAAATGAGTAACTACTGACCAAACGATCTTGGAGTTATTCATGCTGACACTTTTACACCGTTAAACACTACCGGGTGATCTATTTTTTATGATTTCAAGGATCAGAAGTCCGCCAGCTCGAAATCGTATACTCTAACCAGTGTGTTAATGAACGATACCAGTCAACTTTTCCAAAGATAACCGGTGTTCGATTTTAGTTTAAATCCTCCACAATGTCATGTCATGTTAATTGACTGGTTATTTTTGCGGGTCGGTTTTAGACCGGGTTCTGGGTAGAATAGACCTATCAACTTTATTTATTTATTTATTTTCATCGCTTATTTTATAAACCAGGGCCGGTCCCGAGGATTCATCAGCCTGGGCCGAAACAGAAAAAAGGCCCTAAAAATCTTATCTTTAATGGTCTAAAAAATTCACATATGTAAACTAATTATATTAGTATTATAATTTATAATTAACGCAATATTATTAGAAGAAAAAAAATAAATGACAAAATTAGAGTATTATAATTACTTCTACTTCTTCGTCTTCAGCAACAGGTTTCATAAACTTATACAGAGTTCTGGCTTGATACTTTCTCATTTCTTCATCTCGTTTTCTCTTTTTTCTTTTTTGACTACCGGATAATTGTTTAGGAGCCATAACTATTGAATTATTTCTGAAATAAAATCCAAAATCATAAATTCTACTTAGTAAAATCAAGAATAAAAAAACTGCAAAAAGCAAGCAAATAAATAAATAAATAAATCATAAATTAATATCAATTCGTCAATTTTTCTTTTTGAAATTGTTTTTTTCTTTTTCAGTTTTAATTTTTTTATAAATCATAAATTCATATCAATTTAGCAATTAATCAGTTTTTAATTTTTTTTTCCAGTTTTTTTAATATAAATATATAATTATCATAAATAACAAATTCAAATCAATCATCCAAATCAAATAAATAGCACCATTCATTCATTCTATTTCAAAGAATGAAATTAGAAAAGATTTCGAACTAAAAACTACTCCGTAATAGTTAACCCTAGATTTTAAATCTACAAAATGAAACAATGAAAGAAATTTAAGATTTAAGAAATAAAAATTACAAAATTGGTAAGGGAAGGCTATGAAATACCTGGAGGGTGGAGGGACTGGAGGCGTGCAGGTCGGCGACCGGCGGTGGAGGCGGCGAGTCTGGGCTCTCGTGTTTCTTCCGCTCCTTCACTTCCTTGAGACCTTGACGTTTCTGACTTTCTGCCTTTTGGTTTCTTCGATCGGCAACGCGCATCTGGACTCCTTTCTTCCGTTTCTTTTTTTTTGTCTACTGGAGTGGGCTAAGTTAAGGAATGGGTCATGGGATTGGGCCTGGGCTTATATATATATATACACTACCTATATAAAAAAAATTTGTGCCCCTAAACTTTTTGGGCCCGGCCCGGACGGACACCTTGTCCCCCTATTGGGCCGGCCCTGTTATAAACTAATATAATTATGTCATCTCTTGTTCTGTACTCCGCAAAAAATTGATGTAGGTTTAAATATATACGGAGTAAATTTTATTTTTTAATTCAAACCTAACTTTCATATAAATTCATTTCAAATATCGTAAACAACATGCAAATTAAAATAGGACAGAAAGAGTACTTAACACTAAGAGTGGAGCACAATACCTATGTGACAACTGCATGCTATCGTCTCACCATAACTTAAGAAAATGATATAGAGCCAAGTGAACCTTAAGAAAAAGTACTTGTCGTGAACGCAACCTAAACCTTTGCTCAATACCTTTTTCAGATCACTCTATGGCGTTATTATAATGCTAAATTTATGTTTATGGATAACCCTGTACCCATATCTGTACCCATATCTGTCTTTTTCGTGGGATTTTACTGGGTCGGTTGTTATTTTCATTAGAGGCATTTAGAGCAATCATTATCTCCCATGTCCTACATTAACAACAATAATAAGATTAAGAAACAACTTAGATCACAAGTTCAACCTTACATATATGCTCCATAATGCTTTGTGAGATCAAGAGCAAGCACGATTAGAACCGCGAACGGATCGGTCTTTCCATTGTCCTGTTAGGTGATTCACCCGTTTCTTCGTTGGAAAGAGTGGAAATGACAAAGGCCACCACGAGAGATGCCAATTCGCGTTGGTGTGAGGTGAACTCGTGATCTGCTCCTTCGATTACGCGCAGCGTGTGTGTGGGAACGCACTTGGCGAACTCAAAGGCATCCTCGACGCTCACCGTTTCATCCCTTGAGCCATGAACAGTAAGCACCCTAGTGGAAAACAAACATCCATAACACAAGTTGATGATGCAATCCCATCAATTCTTATTTCATTCTATTGTAGTTTATGTTGTTTAATTGTTTCCATTTACTTTGGTTGTTGTAAGACATAGTAATAGTAGTAATAATTAATATACTCTTTCTAGACCCAAGTACAACTCTCTCTTACTATTCCAGGGTTATGATAATTTTTGTTTACTTATGTGTTTTCATTAATCATTTGATAAAATAACATAACCATGTCACTTCTTGTGTTATAAAACTTCTGATATACTTCCTTCGTCCCAAAATAGGGTTTTTCATTTGGTTTGACACAAAGTTTAAGAAAAGGAAATTTGTGTGGATGAAAGTGATGCAGAGGAGAAAAAGATAGTGAGCCACTGAAAGCTTTCCAAAACTGAAAAGAGGTATTTTTTGGGGCGTCCTGAAAAAGAAATGAGTTTTTTTAGACAAAGGGAGTACTTTTCAAATATTCCGTATGTTAGTTTTTTTTACTTTTAGACCAATTTTCAAATTAAATAAATTAAATAAATTCATTTTACCTTGTAAGTCCCTCCCTAACTTTTATTTGGCGATAAAGGGAGTATTTAGTTAAGAAAATACTGCATTCTATTCCCTCTATCCCCAAATTGAATACGTAGTTTGACTTCATGGAGTTAAAAAAAACTGTTGAAAATCGGAAAATGTTAACAAGGAATTAGTTTGGAAGAAAGAGAAATATAAAAGAAGTGTGAGTTTTTATTTGTAAGTCGTAACGAATGAAAGAGAAAAGTGTAATTTTGATTGAGGGATGGAGGGAGTTGGAGTTTCTATTAGTATTTGATAGTTTTTCTGAATTTGCAGATATTCATAAACATGAAGACCGCGGTTGGCACACCTTCTATTTCAGCCTACCAGCCTTAGTTTTAACGTTTTCACCTCTACAAAACGGACTCCAAAGACCCAAAGAATTAGCAAAACCTGCAGTTTGGCGGGATAGTTTGGCACGACGTGCGAATATCCGTTGTAAGGCGGTCCCTCAGGCTTTCCTCGGTCACTCGGAACTCAAATCTCCCTGAAAATTTTGTATGATGCGTCAAAACCACAAACAAACAAAAACAAGATGAAAGAAGTATGACATTGTTGACACTTGACAAAACCTCTCTTGTTTCGAACATCAATGTATCCGTCTTGCTTGATTCTCTCCAAATAGTTTTTTCCCAAACGGCCTTCAATCCCTCTCTCAAGATTATAGCGACCGGCAATATTGACAACAATTGGGACATCTTTATACTTTGATGCATACAAAAGCACCACATTGCCTCCTAGAATAATTTTTGTTAAACATTGTCAACTAGAGTGATTTGTCTGTCAAAATACGACAATTAGATAAACCATGACGTATAAATAAAATTAGGGAATGTCCACAAAATGTAGCTGCAATACCTTTGCTATGCCCAACAATTGCAGCTATGATATGTCCACTCCGACGAAAATGTTCAACTACTGCATGTAAATCATCAGCTTCTCTTCTGTAGTTACCGTACTGGAACGAACCCTCACTTCCACTGAAAAAGAAAATTTATACCATGTTTCCGGGGACTTGAACATGTGAGTCAGGGTAGAACCCTGAATCTCTCTCTCCTCAGCATAAACATTAACCGTAGTTATTCAGTTTATTAAAGACATGTCAAAGTTTCTCTCAAATTTTACAGTTCACTTTTGTCTCATGAAGTTACAATCACTAGCATTGTTTTATAACACGTCAATAAGTTCAACATCTATGTACCTCATTGACACGATTTGACAATTACCACATTTCCAACTCATAATCGCTTTCCACCAACTTCGATCTCCAATGTACAACAACAAACTCAGTAAAAAAGCCCACAAGACTAGGGTCTAGGGAGTGTGTGTGTACAAAGACCTTATCCCTACTCGGAGGTAGAGAAGTTGTTTTCGGGAGAACCCCCGACTCAAACAATGCCGGGCATCTGCACTTCTCCTAATTGCCCCAATCACCTCACTACCTCAGCATTACTCCTCGATTTCCAATGTACAAAGCGAAAATTTTATTTTGCTTGATATCCTTTCCTACACTATTACCAAACAGGCTTTATGGCAGAGAAGCAAAATTCATGATGATGTCATGCACACACAAAGTTCCAAGTTCTTGAAAAATTAGAGCAGTTTATGAAAGTTTTACCAGTGTTTTTGCCTAATTTTGATGCATAATCCCCAGTTTCACTACCTCTACAACACAGCTTAAGCTACTGATGGATTACGTACCCATTTCCAGCAAAATCAAAACGGAAAGCACTAATTCCTGCTTTCTCAAAAGCAGCAGCAAGGGTCACCATGGGAATGCGGTCCTGCGGCAAACAAACAAACAAAAGTTAAGGGAAACGATATAATTTAGGATCGCGTGTGGGTCCTCAACCGGGCCACAAAAGACTCAGGTTAAATCACATTAAAAGATTGAATCCAAATGATTATCTAGTAGGTACAATTCAAGGCTTTATAAACCCATTATTCCTTATCTAATTTTTTTATAACGATTAACATTACAAGAAGCAACACACAAGAACTTTTCCAGTTATGCAATTCCTAAGTTTTACTCTCTGTACTAACCTTCGAGGACCTGAAACCGTGGCAGACAATTACAATCTGCTTAGAACCAACTTCATGTAATATGCCCACAAGCTTCTCCCCATGGCTATTCACTACTACCAGCTTTTTATGCTGCATCACTGTTAACAAATTTGAAATGAGAAAAACAACAACAAAAACAACAACTGTTAAGATTAAGATATGAGATTTACCACATTCTTACTAAAGGGTTCATTCATTCATTCATAACTAGCAACAAATCCTATAAAATCACACTAATTCGAAAAGAGAAAATGGGGAAAAAGAAAATTTGCATGTTTCAATCAATCGAGTCTCATCTACCCGCAATTGAGCAGGCGAGGCTATGGCGACCAAGTTATCGAAGGATTAACAAAGGGAATAGAGTGAAGAACATGGCTTCAATTCGATTCAGAATCAGAAACAAAACCATCCCCAAATCTTACCTGAAACATATATACGGAGTAGATCTTATCTTTGTTTATACAACCCCCACATTTCTCCATTAACAGTTTGAAGCGAATCCAGGTCAAATACGAATTTTTGGTGTACAACTTCAAACAAATTTGCCTATTTGAATGAGTTATTAGAGCATTGTCCACTAAAGAAATAATATACACATCTCAACTAATCAAAAATAATTCAGCGTGTGACAAATGAGTAAAGTAGTATGTTATGCAACGACAAATTATTAATTTCATCACTTTTACACTCTTTTGATGTAAAAATTATTTTCATTATCTTTTTTTTTCAAAAACATCCTTTACTTCTTTTAAAAAATCGTGTATTTTATGAAGAACCCAAAAATAAAAAAGAAAAGGGGAGCAATTGACTCGCGCATGAATTGCAAAGCATGGCAAGTTATGTATGCCTCGCAAGGTATTTTAAGGAATTGGAAGACGTGGCAGTGTGGCACTATCCATGCTCTAAATTGATTTGAATGTCTTGTTTATGCTTTTAAACTACGTAGTTTTTTTTAAAGAATAAGACTTCTTTGAAAATGAATTAAGTTCAACTAAAAAATAAATGTGATAATTTTGAACTTATTTCTCAAATAAGAATAATTTTGTTTATTTAAAAAGATAATTTTGTTTCGTCAAAACATTTATTTGTTGTTGCCACATCATATGATCATTGTCATGTCATTCATATTTTTTTGTATTTTATATGATTATGTTTCGGTTATACCATTCATGACATAATGTTTAATGCTGCAATCTCTCACAGAAAATCATTGATTGACTCTATCTACGTGACAAAAAATGCAAACATTTCACCCAAATCACCATTCAATTTACTTGTTATGTAGGTGTATTTTCTCTCTTTTTATCATGTTCTTATTGTTTAATAATGCAATTATAATTACTCACTTTGTTTTGATATTTTTTCATGTGTTGATTTCACACTTTTTAATAAAGTGTACTTAGTATATTATAAACGTGCGTGAGATTGCGAGGAATAATATGAATCACACAATTATTGAACTACAAGAAACTATTGTGCATATAACTTCATTTCACAAAACTACCTCGGGGGGACTATGCAAACCATTATGGGAAAAAGTTATTGCAAAGTATAACACTTACCACACCTACAACAAATAGTTCCTTAGTATACTTCATTTTTCTTGATCAAAGTTTACAAGCTTTGATACGATTTCACACATCAAAAAGAAAATATTTACGTGAACTAGTATCAACAAAGGCTAGCTAGTATTCATCTCAACAATACAATTAATGTTATTGTACTCACAACAAATTATCATGATCAAGATTGTCACGAAGGCGAAAGTTGAGTCTTCTGAGCCAAATAGAGTGAAGAATCATGTGAAAGGCATCAAAACGTTTCGGCGGATTATTAATCTCAAAATGTCTCCTCACCTTTATCCCCCTCTTCTGCATCCTCAAATACTTTTTCTCGAGAATGCTTACCAATATCTTCTTCAAGTTGGGGATGTCCTTCGTCTCAAGAAGCACCGCGAACGTCTTCACATTCAACACATCACTGAAGGGTACGACATACCCTTCTTTGATCAGCACGGGGACGCAGCCCATGTATAGTGCCTCCACCATTCTCGGGCTCGCAACCTCGTACCCACTTGGGCAAATGCAATACCTGCACCGTTCAAAGTTTGCCACAATTCTAGCGTTTATTTTGAGCATTTTGAAAAAACTAAGGATTCGTTTGGTACACGAAATTGATGGAATAGGAATTGAATTAGAAATTTAAATTTCATTGAACTGATTTGGATGAGATTAAATTCTCCAATTCCAATACATTTTTGGCACTACTGATTTCAAATCCACATATTTTTGTGCTACCAAACAGCAGAATTAAAATTGTTGTATCCAATTCAAATTCCATAATTTGAATTCTGTGTACCAAATGGAGCCTAATGAATTTTTTGCGCTATTTACCCACAAACTCTCACTCTCCACGAACTTTAAAAATTATACCAATGATCCCTGAATTTTTAAAAGTATTGCATGAGTGTGTATATACCTGCTTTTGCGCATCATGTCGTAATATGATTGGCCCTTTGGGAGGTAGCTATGGATCTGAATGTCTTTGTCTTCGTTGTTCCCCCAGTGCTCCATCAGGATCGGCCTGATGGGGCCGTGGAGGCCGCCAGAATAAAAAACCAACACCGACCTACCAGAAGGCGGCGGGCCGCCGAGCAGGCTCGCCGTCGTTCCCAAAGGAAGATGAATTTCCGGAATGGAGACGTCCCTCTCCGGGTCAAACCTCTCTGAGGTGTTGGCATTGCACAACGCGCGAATGGAGTTGTTGTGCAAGTTCGGCACCGCAAACGAAATTTCCGGCCCCTACAAAAACGCTCAAACAATTTCACACGACTACTCGACAAAGGAAAAGTTCACATCAGCACTCGAGAAAACAGTATGTCAGCGTACCCAGTCGTGACATGCAAGCATGAAATGGTCGGCCCCGCGGCTGCGGTTCCAGAAGGGGTGTTTTCCGGCGATGACGTTGACGTAATCGAAGGCGGCGTTCTTCATGAGGGACCAATCATGGGAGTCCCGAATGTATACCACCTCCGTCAGCATGGTGACGCTGAAGGGGAGGAAGAAGAGATGGGCCTCGTCCGGGTCGTAGGTTCGAAATGGGCTCACGTCCATTGCTTGGATGAAGTAACCTTCGATGGCGTAGGTGTGCTTGCATGGCCCAAAATGGAACACCGGCGGCTCCCCTTCCTTGTACACGTACACTTTCAATTTCTTCTCCATTTCCTTGTAGCTCCTATATCAATGTTGAATCCTCCAAGATTATATATTTATGAGATGAGATAATCTTCCATTAATTTTTTTAGGCTCTGTTTGTTACACGGAATTCAAATTCTTGAATTGATATTGGGGACAATAATTCATATTCTGTTGTTTGGTACCATAAAAAATGTTAATTTGGAATTGATAGTGCCAAAAATGAATCAGAAGTCGAGAATTCAATTCCATCCAAATCAATTTAATAGAATTTCAACTCTCAATTTCATTCCCATTTTATCAATTTTGTGTACCAAAAGGATCTTTAGTGTAAACTCTGTGCCATTCACCCTTAGTGACATCCATTTGGGCAAATCAACATCACTAAGAGTGAGGGTTGGAATGGACTAGGATTTCAGCAATGGTTAGGGGTAGAAACAACCAATATTACAATTAGAACATCGTAGGTGCTCTAATTGAATTGGTGTACCGATTTTAAGTCATTTCAATGATGTAAGATTACTGATTTAAGTAGAATTTTAATAAAACGTACACAATTATTATAGGAATGTACCAAGCACCTGTTAAAAGAAGAAGCATTTCTATACATTGGACCTTCGGGTATGAACTCATCGTCGTCATCTTCATCTTTTGATGTTAGGTTCGATCCTCTCATGATTAAAGCTCGAGATCGAGCGAGCCCAGCTTCCAAAATCTCTAGCTTGCTGCAACGTCTAGTACTATTTCTAGCATTTTTGGGACCCGCGATGCCGAATTTATTAGATGCCTAAATTCAAAATTAAAGGGAATTAACCAAGACTAGTATAATGTAACATTGTGCCCTCATCAAACTCCGTCTCGCATGGACTCATGAACAATTTTTAAAAGTAACCCCAAATAACTGCGCAGTCCATTAGTCGTACTTGTTTATTGTTATCAAAACGGATAAATTTATGTGGAATTCGCATTAGTACTAAAACATAAGTCATTTTCCGTGATAGGATTTAAACCTTTTAATTCTTGACTTTATAATGTGTATTGGGAGGAATAATTATAGTAACAATGAACATTTACTTGAATAATGACTAATTGATAATGACCAAAAGTCCTAGAAAATAAAAACATACGGAGTATAATCTTATATTGGAAAAGTCTTTATATTTAGATCGGTAAATTTCTCTAAAATTATGTAAAAATTGCCTAAGTAAATAAATTTAGAAATTTAGGTAGAGAAAGTAAAAGGAGAGCATACCGTTGAAAAATTTTGACCGACGTTTTCTTCCAATAGGGCAGACGGGGCAGTAGTAGTCGACGACGACAAATTCAAAACAGCGGCGCCTCCGCCACCAACGCCGCCGTGTTGCAAAGGAGAATTATTTGAAGCGAACCGCCAGACGGAAGTTTTTGAGCCGGCGAAAAATAATGACAGAGCTGCCACCAGAAACAACGCCGCCGGCCAACATTTTCCGGCAGCTCTTCTCCCCCGCTCACAAATCCCACCTTTCTTCCTTGGATTCATCCTCTAGAGAAAACGGAGATTTTCGTTATCTTTTAACTGTAGTTCGTCGGAGAAGTGGCCGGAGTATATATACAGACTGAGGGGAGAGGAAAGAATAGTTGAAAACGGAGCGTCGCGGCGGCGGTTTTGGACGGTGGGGTGTCCCGTCATGCAAGAAAAATAAGGGAATATAATACAGAGTAAATGAAAGTCCAAAAATTAAAAAATTGATAAATATGGTATATTTTCTCGAATTAATACCTTGCCATTGTGGCAAGTATGAAATTACTCTTTCCACTTAACAAAGATTAATAAGGATATTTTTTTTTTTGGAAAAATATTTAATAAGGATATTTCTTCATTTTCTTTTGAAAAACTCTCTAGATATAAGAAAAAACTATAAAAATATCAAATAGAAGTCATAATTATTTTAAGACCAAAATAGGAATTCACATTGTCATTGTTACACTGCATCACTCACCACGTCACATTGTAGCTGCCACACTATCACCGTCACCCTGCCATCCGTTGAGGCCGGCCACCAGAGTACCTCCGCGGATCACCGACTGTTGATAGATCGCACAGATATATTACACTCTCATAATTAATGATATACTAGCATTTTGACCCGTGCCACGCACGGGGTCGAATGAATATCTTGTCGATTTTGAATTTTATTAATTGTAGTATTTTTTTATAAAGAAATATATTTCTTACATGATTTACAATAACATGGAAAAAAAGCCAAAGTAAAATGAATAATTTTTGAAGGAAGAAATGTATACATAACAAATTTTGTTTTAATACCAATTTTTTTTGAAAGACTCCAGGATATATTTTGAAAGGTAATGAGTGGACTGTCATCTGGAAATGACATACCACTGAATTCTCTTAAAGACCATCCATTTGAATTGAAAAACTTTAAAATCTCAATCAGACATAAGTTCTTTAGGCCTTCTCGAGAAATTATAAGCTCTGAAAAAAAGAATTAGAAAAAATAGAAGTTATTAATTCTTACAGAGTACTGTATAAAATGTTTGTTTTCAAGACAATGCATTACATATGGATTAATATGTTAAAAAAAATATTTCTCTATTGAAATACCTTGATTACGCAATAGTCTCCTTCGATCAAATAAAATTCCATCCACCAGTAGTTCCCATGATTTTTCCCAAACAATTTGCGTGCGACTCATTGTCACTAATAATGTTCGAACAACTTTCTAAGCTGATTCCCAGAACCTAACTCAGCACCCTCTTTTATACCTTCAATAAATTCATTATCATTGGTTTAACCCTAGTGCATCGCATGCTTCCTCGAATGAGTTATACAGAACATTGTTAACTGTCTTCAAGCTCTTATAACTTGTACACACTCGTTGGATAGTTAATAGTATTCTCAAATAGTATAACTCTCTGGCTCCTGCAAGCATGTATTGTAGCTAGCCTATTGATGGTCTTTGTTTCCTCGGGAACCATTCTCGCTCCTTGATATTGTACACAAAATGTCCTGAAAATTCTACATACGTTAACTTTTGTCCCGTATTGTACTTTGAATTGGCAATCATCAAAGCTTCAAACATTGAAGGTTTGTAAAGATTTTGTCTAGCAACGTCTTTAAGATTTTGTTGCTCTTTAAAAGTGACAAATTTCTGTCATGGGAGATGAAAATTTAACCTGAATACTGCTGGCCACTTGTGGTGTTTATCAAAAGAGAGAATTCTCCAAGATGCTTCACATGCAGATATGTAACGACAATCATAGTATTTGTCTGTTTCATCATGCACCTCTTTGCCAACATTGCCACAGTTAGATTGGGTAACTACTATAGTTACTCTATCCGAACCCTTATTGATATCTTTAAAGAGATATTTGATTAAATTAGATTTGTTGCAATATTCAATATTGATGTGAGCTTGATACCTCATCAAGAGTTGTGGGTTGTATGGCACAAGAAATCGATTATCCAACTCGATATCCTTTCTTCTTGTGGTGATACCCATGTTTCTTCTTCTGTATATTGGGTACCCATTCTCATCAAACGATGTTTTGTCAACAAATTGTTTCAAGAAATATTTTTTTGCATCTTCCATCGTCTATACATGGAGATCTAGCATCATCTATGCCACAGAGATTAAGCCCAACGAATCTTCGTTGATATCCTAATGGAAGAATAATATTTTGCAAAGATTAATCCCGATCTATATTGTTGATTTCCCAATTGAAGATTTTGCAGAGATTATGGCAGGGATGTTCCTGGAAGACTGATCGAATATGATTATCACAGGGAGCTGAGGAGCAATTGAAGGTAAGTTCGAATCACATCTTCGCTGATATCTCGCGGTGGAGCCGTTCGAAGATGATTATCGCAGGGAGGTGCAATCGAAGGAAAGTTCCACATGTTCGTTGATATCTCGTTTCCTTTTTGCATTGAGACTTGCGGGTGAATGCCACAGTCTCACAAATAGAGTCGCCAAAATAAATGAATCATTATCCAACCCGTTTGAAATATTTAGAAAGTTCTTTTTGATGACATGGCCGATGAAGTGTCAAAAAAATAATCCAGTCAGCATGCCAAATGTCGCGATTCTGAGAGTTCAACTCTCAAATATTATATATAAAGGATATTACACAGATATATATCATTTACTTTTCACTTTTTTATACAAGATATAATTATTATTTCGTCAAGTCGATGGAACTATATGTAAATAATAATTATGCCTTTTATTTCGAGACTAGATGACTAACTAATTTTACCGCCAAGATCCTTTTGGCATTGAAATTTAAGGCCGTAATATGACATCTGAGACCTATGATGCATCATTCGTAAATTCCGAACTCGCACGACAAACCCCTTTAGTTCGGCTTGTCCCTAACGCTCCCTGCACCATCTCCGGTTGCACTTCCTAATTTTTGTTGACTTTTGAAAGTATGAAACTTTAAGAAATTATCATATTGCCTTTGTACAAATGATTTGTCATATACTCCGTTATGCACAACTAGATCAATTAAGACTATGTCCCTGTTTGGCATCAGTGTTGGAGATTAGCGTTAGCATTTTGAAAAGGCTAGCTATCTGACGGTAGCCTTTAGCGTTAGCGTTTTCTGAATTAATCTACATCATTAAAATTTGATCCAAAATGCTAACACTAATTAAAAATATTCTTCCTAGACAAGGCCTATGTGCTATGAGAGAATTGAAGGGGGATAAATGGTGATTGGATGTAAAGTGTGTGGTATGATGTGAAGTGATAAAATTATGTGTAGTAGGCTGGGTGTGAAGAGAAGTGATGAAATGTAAAAGTTTAAATTATTTGATCGATTGAAATGATGTTTGATGTGTACTAAATTCTGAATAGTTAAAAATAAAAAAATATTTTTACTTTCATGCATTCACCATGGTCACTGTAGAGGTGCCGCGGCCGAGCGACGCAGCATCTCGCGGCGCCCAACCATGTCCTCTCATGCTCCCCTCGCCGCGCCTCTTATACCGTTAAGAAATGATTACCAGTTTTGTTTAGTACTCCCTCCGTCCAAAAATATTCTTCGCATTTGACTTTTCTTGGTCAAAGTTTGTAAACTTTGACTATGATTTTGATTTGTGGAAAAAATACATTGTATTAGGATATAACTTTAATATGAATATATTAATTTTGAAATATAGTTTTCAAATATCAATTTTTTATAAAATATATCCATGTATAAATAAAGATATTAGTAGTCAAAGTGTAATCTTGGAGACCGTAAAAAGTCAAATGGGAAGAACATTTCCGAACGGAGGGAATAATGAATTGTATTGAACTATGATCACCATTTAATAAGTTTCCATTAATGTTGGCAATTGCTACTTAACATTAAAAAAAGCCTCATATTTAATTTCATCACTACGTAAATGCCACATTAAAGATATCACTCATAAGACAATAAAAATTTGTAGTACTCCCTATTGAATTGCAAAAGAGCGAGAAATGATTTAAATCTTGAGGTGTTTTTTCGTAATCTTAAGGTTCACATTTGAAATGTAGTCTTTTTTATACTTTTTACGTACTAACAAGTCAATCTTTCTTTTCTTAAGTCAATTCCTATATGATATCAATGCATTAAAGTATATAAAAAGAACATGAACATTATGACCACGTAAGAATTTACATTAAAGCTTTGTTAAATGATTTGGTTTTTGTTTTCTACGGAGTATGTTAGATGCATATTAAAAAACAGATGCGGCTCTATGGGTGGGCAGGGTGGCCACCTGGCCAAGGCCCATTTTTGGAGGGGGTCCCAATTTATTTTGTTGTAATTACGGAGTATAAATTTATAAGACTATGAATACGATATTTTATTACTTTTAAAATTATAATGTTAATTATTGTTAAAAAAATAATTGATAAATTTTACTTTATTATCACACATTAGCCCACTTTCTCCATGTCGGCCAAGACACTTGATTCCTTGAGGACGACCCTGTCAGTGAAGTAATCACGGTGAATTGTTTACGCAACTTAAAACAAATTCTCTTGCGTATGTAGGCCTACGTTTACATTGATCAATAGCAACGTGCTAAGACACAGTTCTCCAAATTTGTGTGCCAAACAAAGCCTAATACTCGGGTAGCTCTCAATTGGTCAATTGTAAAACCATTGTGAGTAAATAGATTATTAAAAAAAGTAAAAACTTTGAAATAAAAATTACTTAAACAAGACTTTTGGAACACATTTTAGACTTTCAAACCCAAATAATGAGTACTCCATATAAAGTACTCCCTCCGTCTCCTATAGATCTTCCTAATAGCCCTTTTTCTTTGTCCACAATAGATCTTTTCATTTCATTTTTTAACAATTAAAATACCACAACTACCCCCACTTATTTTATTTATTACACCTCACCCACCTCATTTAATATGCTCCACCCATTTTCATTAAGGATATTATGGTAAATTTTCACTTTTTTTCAATTCTCCTTAAAAACCACCAAAAGTCAAAATGAGAACATCTTAGGGGACGGAGGGAGTATAAACAAATGTTATCAAACACAATCCAAAGCAGCATTTAACAAAACCACATTGACATCAATAACACTTTGTAATAAATTTATACTTCCACCCCCCCAGATAATGAAATTACTGTAATATTTATAGCTCCAACCCCCCACATTTCCCCTCAATTCTACAAACATCCCCCAAATTCTCCCCAATTTCATCTCCGGACCCTAAAAATAAAATAAAATACAAAGTGTGCTGTATATAATTAATTAATTTCAAAATTAAAAACGAAAATTCTAAAATTAGAAAGTCCATTTCCAGATCTTGATTCTGAGATCGACCTTACAGCTTGATCCGGAGGTGGCGGCGATGGCCGCCGTCTTCCCCTTCGGAGTTTGGCTATGGATTCCGTCACAGGTCACTCTGATCCCGATTTTCTTGCTCTTCAACTTGCCCTGGCTCGCCATTACCCGGGTGTCCATCAAGATCTTGATCGGCAACCCTTTTTTCTTCATCTTCTTCAGATCTGTCTTCAATTCGGAGGCGGAATCGGAATCCAGGACCTGCGAGATCGAGGCCAGAGTGGAGTGGATCGCGGTGGTGTTCTTCGTGTTGCTGGGGAAACCCGGGGAGGATCCGTTCGCGAGGGCGATCCCGCCGGAGATCGCCGTCAGGGAGATCCGGTCGTAGGTGTAGGAGATTTTCTTGTTGGGGTTGTGGGCGGAGATCGCGAGGCTGAGCTTCGCGGTGAGGCGGGTGGTTCCGTCGGAGGCGGCGGTGGTCAGGTTGAACTGCGAGATCTTGAGGAAGGAGACGGAGAACTCCGGGCGCTGCGGGCGGAAGAGCGCGTAGTAGGCGGCGCCGAGGAGGAGGAGGACGCAGAGGATCAGGACTGCCCAGAAGCAGCCGCAGCAGAGGCACCGGCAGCAGCTGAACCGCCGCCGGTCATGTCTGGCTCCGCTAACCATCTGCTGGGGGCGATACTGGGGCTTTAGAGGGTAGACCGTCGCAGGATTCGGCGCCGGCACCGGAACGGAACCGTTAGTCGCGGCGGCGCCGTTCTGCTTGTACACTCTGTCCCCCGCCATCTCTGCAAAAATCACACCTCAGTCAAGGAGGAAGACTGAAGCAACAAATGCTCAGCGTCCTAAGCCGGGAATGGCGGTGGCGCCGCCGACAGCGGTGGCTGGAATGGCAGAGAGTGGCAGAAGGGAATGGATAGAGAGAAGTGAGATCTGATTGCGATATATGAAGGGCAGAGCTTTCTTTGTAAAAAAGCTTAATTAGGTCTGGGGATGGATGCCGCGTGGGGAAAACCAGAATGGAAAGCAGCGGGACCCATTTTCATTGACTGTTTGGTTACACAAAACGGGTCACCCGACAACCCGGCTCGCATATTTGGGTAGAAAAAAATGTTCAATCAATTGTCAATATTACCCTCTTGATTCAAATCTTTGATTCTCTCAATTTTATTTGGGTGTTTTGGAGAAATCTCAAAATCAAAAGAACTATGATGCAATTATAATATACTTCCTCCGTCCCAAAATATTTACAACATTTTCTTTTTCAGCAGTCGCGAAAACTTTTGTTTATTTCTACGTTTTCATTGGTTATTTGATAAAATAAAATATTCTTGACACCTCTTATTTCGAAGAACTTTTCATGTAGTTTTTTGATATGTAAATTTTATTTTTTTATTTCTATACCAATATGTAAATAAAATGAGTTGAAAAAACTTGATATGTTTACCTCGAGAATACAAGTGTGGCAAATATTTAGGGACGAATGGAGTACTACTTTTGTAGCACTAACCAATTCAATATCATCATCAACATAATTGATAATCACCTTCATTAAATGGACCATTTGGTAATATAAAAATAATAAAGTCCGACGAGCGTAATTTATGTGGTCAGTGAGAGTGTAAAAGGATGCTTTGTCAGAGTTCAATAACTTGCGTAGACAATGTGTGTTATTTTATGCTTTGCAGAGGGTCATTTGTTCAAAATAGGGATCGATCTCATTCTCTACTACTCGTTTGAGGTTAGAGCTTCATTTACTTTTTTTGAGATGACTCTTTTGGCAGTTTTGAAAGAATACTAAGAAGAGATTTATTATTTTCTACAAAAACTAGTAAAAACAAATTTATTCAATGTGCTTGGCAACACATTATATTGTGATGTGGATCATGCTCATTAGCATGACATACTCCTCATGTTGGAATTGGGTGTTGAAATCAAACTCTTCGAAATACTTTCATTTTTTCCTTTCACAAAGACACATCGGGGCCACGAAAAAGGGGTACATGGAGAGTGCACGATAGACTCCGAAATCTTTTTCAGATCCGGAAACTTAAAGACGTTTGTGGATGACTGGATGAGTCCTACGCTAGTGTATCGACGAAGGTGCGCTATAGACTCCTGCCGCCGTCAGCATCACTGGAGAAATAGTGAGCGACGATGAAGGAAGAGAAACGACCTACTAGATTCTACGTCCCCTATGATGCCTCGTAAAATTTCAGACAAACTAATTTGATTTCATCAAACAAAAAACCATTATTTATAATAGCGATAAGACTAACATAATTACGAGTCCCGCAACAATGAGTCAATTAACATGAAATTCTCTAACAACATCACTATCTAGCTCAAAATGGTGGATCCAAAAAAGGAGGTCAGGAGGCAAGAATATATAGGCGGGGGTTCGAAGATAGCTCCCCTGAATTTGTTTTGAAAGAGTTTAACATGACAAAAATAGTGTTAAATTTCATTACAACATAGTGAATTACTGTGCATAATTTATAAATACTCAAATAAAACATTTTAAATTTAGGAATTATACATAAATAAATTACTCAAACTAGTCTGAAATTAAATATTTAAAAAGTCATTCAATAAATTACTCAAACTACTCTGAAATACATCAAAATTGTCGTGTTGTTAATCTGAAAAAGTTAATGGGAACCTCCCAACTGTAAGAAATCGGAAAATGTTAGAAGAATTAAAATATTAGAAAGTCATTCTATTAACTGATCATCTAAATAAATGTATTAAAAAACTTTAGTTTTGGATAAAAAATAATTCATCTTTATCGTGTTTGAGGTGATACATTATAAATTTAAATATACTCCAGGGTACAATGTTATTTATAGTAATTATATATAAATATTTTTTTTATATCATTGTTAGAAGAAATTGAAAAAAATTTGAAAGAACGGGAAGGAGTTAAAAGGAAATTGAAAGGAGTTGGAATAGAGGCCTTATAACTTGGAACTAAAAACTTAGCATTCATTTTATTTATATTTTTATTTTATTTAAAAAAATAAAAAGTATAAGTTGAAAGATAGATAATTATAGCCTTATAGGTCTCAAAATAAGGCAAACGTTTATAAAGTAATTTCTTCTCGTCTTAATTGTCTACAATTTAATTGGAAAACTCCAACAATGCAATGGCGTAATAACATTAGTAATATGCCAATAATGGAGGCATCTCTAAAGGCCCAATTGGGAAATACAAATCGGGATTGAAAGTTACTCCAATGGGCCAATCGTTCGAGCCTATATACGTTGCATTATGCAGTCCGTAATAATTAGGAAATTTTGATATTTCCTTAGAAACCACTTTTTTTATATTTTTCAAAGATATCACTTTTGATACATAATGGAAAAAAGGTTAAAATATGAGTAAAACATTGAAATAAATCAAAATAGAGTATCTATGTTTTTATTCTTGAAATAGGAGTTAAAACACAATTATATTACCAATCGTGACATATACATTACCAAAAAGTATTGTGAAAAGTTCATTACAACGTGAAATTATTACAGTGCAAACTCCTATAATATGGTGATTTCTTAAACATAATTTTAAAATTATTTTTGTCCCCCTTTTTTACAACATCTTTGTCTCTTTGATGTTAAGTTTTGTTCAAAAAGCCATCTTTCATATTTAATATTTTTTATAAAATCTTTTTAAACAAATCAAAATACAACCACCTATTTATATTTCCTTCGTCACAATTTAAATTGTATGTTATAATTTGATAAAATTTATGCATAAGGTTTGACATTGCAATATGACTAATACCTATTCAACTTGTATTGTGTTAAATGTAAAAAGAAACTTGTATCATTTTGATTGAGATCTCAAATGTGACACTGTGTTGGAGTTAAAGGGGGTTCTGGCAATGTGAAATTTTGCTTGCTATTTAAGGTTGATTGGGTATATGAAAATAATGATTATGTGTTTGAGTGTATGCTTTAGTGCATTTGTTTATTCCACATTTATAGTTTTAGAATAGAAGTGGTATGTACTTGATTGACGTCCATACCATGGCAATGAATTTGTTGTAAAATTAGTAAATTACTATCAACTTTAAATCAATGTGTGCAGAACCTTTAACATATTTAAAAAGAAACTGAATTAGTATGTATATACTACTTTATTCAGATCATAGACATATAACCTAACATGCAATTAAGCAACTCTAGAGCATAGGAGTAACGAATATTAAACAAACGCCGGTATTAGTTTGTTGAGGTTAGTCATTTCAAAAATCATATGATTCCTATTACTTCGTACTCCCTCCGTCCCTGAGTGTTTGTCTACTTTCATTTTTGCACACCATCCAATGCACTTCTTTAATCCATTTTATCTTGTAATTTGTATATTAAAAAATTATAAAAATTATATATTAATAATCTATATGTTAAGACGAATCAAACAATATCACACATGACTATTTTTAGGCTTACACATTGAGATAATTTGATGAGTCAAAGTGCTTAGATGAACAGTTCCAAAAGTCAAAAGTGGACAAACACTCAGGGACGGACCAAGTATTAAATTATGCTTATTCAGTAATCACATAACGCACTGCCTTAATCTCGAAAGCTTGATAATAACACACTGCCATAGTACACATGCAGTAATTACGACAAAAAAAAATTACTGCCTTAACAATATATCAACAAAATCCTTTTATATATATAAAGTAGAGTCGGAGCTATAAGAACGTAACATTTGGCAGAGCTAAAGCGCGACATGTGGCGAGTTGATGTGCCGACATTTGGCAAACCAATCGGTTTGACCGGTCAGACCAGTTCTTTTTTTGCAATTTTTTTCCAAAAACATACCACCATGGGGTTTGAAACAAGGATCTCTTGGTCATTTAGTTGAGTTCTTAACCATCCAAGCTATGGTGCTTTTTGTTACAATCTCACTTAAGCTTTTATAATGTTTCATAATTAAAAAAGGATTGTATAAAAATTTCTTTTTAGTTATAAAAAATATAATCCTTTAATATAATATTTGAGACTCCGTTTGCTAGGAAATCACCAAGTGTCAAGCTTATGTGGGCTATATTAAGGTGAGATGACAAGTCTTTATTGGTTGCTTATGTGGCAAATTTTATTAATGATGAATTGACCTTTCTTTTTATTTTAAAATAGATATTTAAAAATGATTTCAAATTTTGGAAAAATTTTACGTTAAACAAATAAAGAATTCATTACTTCGTGACATTAGTTGAGTATTTATATTTTTTATTTTTAAAAAGCAATTCATCTATTTATTTGTTATGATGTGATAAAATTAATTATGTTATAAAATCAAATTTCTGAAAGATAAATATAGTATTGTCCGAAATAAAATTTTTAAAGGAAAACAATTATATAAAATATAATTTTATGATAAAACTTATTATGATGTAGCAAACAATTAGTGAAAATATAAAATTGGTATTATCATCTACCATTTCAATACTAGCATTTTTTATGAATCAAATTTTTAACTAAGTGCATACACAAAAACAAAATTTTGATAATGATATATTCTCATTTAAAAGTATTCTTATAGAAAAGGATCAAATATGTTTATAATTGATCCTTTATTTATAAAATTGATATATTAATCTTTAAGAAGCTGAGATGTGATATTGTTTAAGAGACATTTCTGACACGTAAAATATATTATAGAAATTAAGAAGTTAATACTATTGTATGAAGTTCTTCGGTACAATTAATTATGGAAGAGAATATAGATATTCGTTTTATAATAAATTATTTTCTAATTATGTATAGTTTTCTATTCAATTACTACAAAACTTCTAAAAGTGTGTTTGGTGAGCAAAAAAATATGAGTTTTGAATTTTGATATCTCTAGATATCCTTATCCTTTTCTGGTGTTTGGTGAAGCCAAAAGAGTTATCAAATTTAATATTTGCAGATATCATAAATCTTTAAAATTGATGGTCTCAATATCTCCCGAATTTAGGAAATATCAATATGTGAGTTTGATATCTCTCTCAACCATTGATCATTCTTCGTCACTCGCTACCATTATCATTGCCAACCACTCCCGTTGCCAGTCACCTTTTCTTATCACTAATTAAATCCTGAATTTAAATTTCTCTAAATAAAATCATTTTAGATTACAAAGTCCATATCATTTCTCTGAGTTTTCATAACCCACATCTTATAATATCTCCAAAATTCACCAAATTGGCCCTAAGCAATTAATAAGATATTTCTTCACTTTAAAATAAATTTCATATTTTTATGATATATTTAAATCGAAGAAGTCAGTTTGATTATATTTATTAAAATATGAGAAGATTAGAAACACTTATTTTAAAACTACAATGAAACTTTATAAAAATGAGAAGATTAGAAAATAAATTGTTAAAGCACGTAAAATATATTCGACTTTTAAGTTGTTGAGATAATATATTTATTTTGTACTCAATAGCTTGGTTTTATATTTGCAATTACTTCAGACACAATTTTGATGTCAACAATTGTGTCTTTTATCAAATTGCATTTTTATTTCTCAAATTTTGAATATATTATATTCATAAGAAATTTGAGAACCAGATATATGTAATATGAATAAGTACACAATTTAGGGTTTAGAAATTGCATCGGATGTAATTAGAAATACATGACTAATATGTTGAGTTTGAAATAAATGTACTATCTCATCTAATTAGAAGTTCTAAATACGTTGAGGACTATTTTCAAATTAAAATATTTTGTAGGGATGACTTTATCAAAAAAATATTTTACAGAGACTAAAAATTCTTATTTTATAGGGCATAAAAACATATTTAAACCTATTTTTATTATATTATAAAAGACAAATGATTAAAACAAAATATATCGTTGGGACTTATTATATTACACTAACATTATTTATGATTTTATTATCATTGAGTACATTTAATTAAGAAAGAGAGATATTTATTTTTTATTAGAATATTGTTTTAATTTTTTTCATCTCATTCATAATAATAATTTCAATGAATATATAAACTACTCTCTTTATCTTTAACAAAATTTCATATTTCTTTATGTTATGATTAAGAGAATTTAGCTTTATTCCATTTATTTTAATAGTGATGTAAAATAACAAATACTTCTTAATCCCTATATTAAAATTATATATATTAAGTGTTTAAACCATATAGAGTATTACTTAGCAGGATTATTTAATTTGACTTTTGTACTTTATCTTTCTAATTTGACCTATTATTTTAATTAAAGAAGGTTTGCACTGTAACTTACCATATCTTAACATTTATAAATTTATATTAGGTGATAATTCACTATATTGATGCATGAAAATAAAAAAGACGGATGAAGTATGGCTCGATTCTCTTTTCTTCATTTTCACAATCATACAAAGAAATTTAAAAAAATGATATTCTGTAGATGAAGCGACATATATCATGGACTTTCACAAAAAATATTTCTATAAGGAAAATTAAGATCTGGAGGTCGAGAAACGCGTGAAGATCTGTGACAATTAAAATTTAGATGCAAGGATAATCAGTAATTTAAGGAGAAGTACGAAGAATATCTTATGTGCAGAAGTGAATAAGATTTAAGTTAAACTACAACATCAAAGAGAAATATAATTTTTAAATTGTAACTCTTTGTATTTTATAAAACATTATGTATTGACCAAAATACTTTCACACACTTAAATGATTTAATATTTAAAAAGAAAGCAAAAAAATGAGTAAAAATTGTGATATAGTTTTTGTAAAATTTCATTAAAATCATATTAGAATCACTAATGTTTTTTTTTGCATTCACATAATTTTTGAAATAATACGAGGGAGAATAATCATTATATTTTAAATGTATTGTAAGATTTAAATTTCTTATCATATGATTGTTAATTTATGTTTTCATATTTTTAATAATACAAGAAAAAAGAGTCAATTTTTAATTAGTGCAAAGGGCCAAGGAGAGAAAGAATCACATTAATGCATCATAGAAATTAAAATAATATATTTCCGTTAATGTAAATTAATCTGGCGGAGAAGAGTCGTGATTTTTTTATATTAAAATTACAAGATCGGAAATCTAAGTTTGTTAAATAAATGCGGGGGAGAAGAATAATAAAATCACCAATGTTTTTGTCGTATATTTTTTGAATTCAGGGGGTGAGAAGAATTATATATTTGTAATAATTTAGTAAACCTAGATTTTATGTGTGTGTGTATGTGTGTGTGAAATTTAAATGGTATATAACATAAAAAAATTAAGTTGTTTAAATATTTGATATTGTATAATAAAAAACAATTTCGTTCCACCCGTGCATGGCACGGGTTAAAATATTAGTACTTAAAATACTAAACCAAACAACTTCGAGGAATTAACACACTTCAAAAAAGCACTGCCATAACAACAAACTCCCTCCGTCCCCAATTTGATTACAAATTGCGGGTTATGGAGTAAAATTTCCTATTTTTTGAAATCATTTTATTTACAAATTGGTATATCAATAAGATATAAAAATTACATATTAAAAACTACGTCAAAAGTTTTACAAAACAATAGGTGACAAGAATATTTTATTTTATCAAATACTTAATGAAATCACGTAAACAAACAAAAGTTATCGAGAGGAGAGAGAAAAAAAATTGTAATCAATTTAGAGACGGAGGGAGTATTACCTTTGAGGAATTAAAACAAACAATACATATGCACAACCACAAAACATGAATACTAAACCCTTAAGATTTATAGTTCAATTCACAATAAGGAAAAAAAACATATAATGAATTGCCAAATACAGATGCACAATCGCATAGCATCGTGTTAATTTATTTGGGTTGGCCCAAACATATTAATAATATTTGACACCCAACCCATCAGCCCATTTACTCAAGCCCAATCTATACTCCTTAACCTAATTAAGCTTGCCTTAATTACCACCCTAATCTCCACTATATATTGAGGGGCTGCCTTTGTGTTTCTTCACCGTACAAAAACTCTTTTTCTCTCTTTGTGAGACTTCCGTGTGAGTTTCTTTCTTCCTTTGTGAGTTGATCTCAGTTCTTCTCCGTTTCTTTGTGGGTGGAGTGTGGCGAGGTTGGGTTGGGGTGTTGCTCCTTTTGGTACCCTTATAGTGCACAACTACGGACCGAATTTTACGGGTGACCTGAGCCTAATCGGAATAAATAAATACACACAACAGTGGTATCGGAGCCTGGTTTGTGCTCAGTATTTATTTATTTTCGTGGGGTACTCTGTTCTTTCTTTTTTGGATTTACTGTTCATTGGCAGAGGGTTGTTTTTCCTCTCCCTTTTCTTTCCTTCAGTCAAAGTTTCAAAATCCAAATTGGAGTTGGTTTCCCTTGCGTCATCAATACATCAAATAAAAAAAAAAGAGTCCTGTATTATTCTTGTGGGTCAAGAACGAAGCGTACTCTGACTTGGGAACTGGGATCGATCTTCGTGCAATAATCGCCAGCGTCCTGCGACGAAAAACACCAGGCGACCATCGACCCGCGAGAGAGCATCACGAAGCAGACCCTGCCTGACGTGCTCCGGCGAGCGCAGAACCTCAGCGGCAGGGACGTGTGGCAGAGCCGGACTCGCACCAATTGCTTCGTGCGATTGAAGGTAGAACTCCGTTGAAGGAATCAGAAGCTCCAACGTCTAGGAGCAGGGTTCGACCCTCGCTGACAGAACCGAATTGCTGCCAAAATTCCTCCGTGGAGTAGGTAAGTCGAATCTAGGCATTAGATTCGCCCAGGTACACAACTCTTTATCCCTTTGCTTTCGTAGCATTTTGTAGGGTTGTTTAATTCCGCTGCATTATTTCCGATTGCCTAATTCCAGTAGTTTGTGCTCGTGTGAAAGAACAACGGGATTGAGTAAGCAATTTTTTGCTAACATAATAATCTTGAGTTGTTCGTGCGATTGCTTCACACACGTGAGCCAAATTTGGAAAATTTAGGCCAAATTCTACGTGCCTCTGTGTTGCTGATTTTTTCAGTTTTTTATTCTCTTTTGTGGTTTTTTTTTCTCCTTTGTGGTGATTTTTTTTTTATTATTTTTTCTCCTGTGTGGATATGTCTACTATGAATCAGTATGCTTTGACTCCTTTTAATGGAAAAACTGATTTTAGTATTTGGAAACAAAAATTGAAGTGTGTTCTTGTTCATCAAAAAGTTTATAGGGCTGTTAGTAATTCATATCTAGAAACAGACTATAAAGAAAAAAGAGTTGAAATGAATGAAATTGCTTGTTCCATAATTTACTTAAACTTAACTGACTGTGTGATCAGAAAAGTTGGTATTTTGGAATGTGCTAAAGATCTTTGGAATAAACTTGATGAACTTTATACTGAAACTTCTTTGCCAAATAAGATTTTCTTGCTTGAAAAATTTTTCAAGTTTAGATTGGATATGTCTAAAGACATAGAAGAAAATCTAGATGTTTTCACCAAACTGATTTCTGATATTAAATTAACCGGTGATAAACATATTGATGACTACACCCCTATTGCTCTTTTGAATGCTATTCCTGATTCCTACAGTGATGTTAAATCTGCAATTAAATATGGTAGGGATAATATTTCTCTTGATGTTGTTGTGAATGGTCT